CAGAACAGACAGAAGCACAGGTGGGGAAACTCAAACCGTGATGAAATTCAGAAATATTGAACAATCCAGCAATTTTCAACTTGCCGTGAGGAGTCTAGAGACGTTGCCCTTCAAGGCTGCTGAGGTACCTTTCAACCCACAAGACTGTGTGATGCACTAAGCAACAAGAGCATCGACCTTTAGATACCTACTGGGTGCCCGTGTGACACTATGGGATAACCAATAGGCTCTTAGCCACAAAGTCAGTAGTTCAAACCCCCTACCCCCCACCCTCCACCACACCGTAGGAGAAAGAAGAGGCTGTCTGCTCCTGTAAAAACTATGGTCTCAGAAACTCTAAGGAGGCCTCCCCTCTGCCTTGCAGGGTCCGTGTGAGCGTAATGCAGTGAGAAGGTTCCGGGCTCTGTGTTGTGTGTTTTGCACACACTGCCTCACTTGTGAAGGAGGTAGTCACTGTTGCTTGCCATGGAGTAGTCCCAATTCATAGTGACCTTACGTCGTCGGAGCGTGACAGACCAAAACACTGTCCAGTCCTGGCCGTCCCCCTGACCGCGTGTCCATTGGAGCCCCTTGTTGTGGGTAATGTGTCAGCCCGTTTCACCGAGAGGTCCCACTACCAATCCTGCTGTCCTTCGCGAGCTCATGGTCTCTCTTGATGATGTGCCCAAAGTAAGCAAGACAAGGTCCCCGACCTTGCCTCCAGGGAGCATTCTGGTTGTCTTTCTTCTGCAACGGATGTGTCGTTCATTCTTCTGGAAGATTCAACGTTCTTCCCTGAGACAGTCATTGGATTGCATCAACTCTGCTTTCTTGTTTTCATTGTCCGGCTTTGACATGCACGGGAGGCAAATAAAAGCGCTCGGGCACACGTCAGGCACACCGAGTCATCCACCTGGCATCGTTGCTTTTGAAAACTGGAGAGTGGTCTTTTGCAGCAGATTTGCCCCATTCGCCATTATGATTGCTATTGTTTGGGTGGGCGACCTGGGAAGGGAGGAAGCAACTGCAGCCAAGACTCTTCATCTTATAGATGAGCTTTGGCTCAAATCAGGCTGCAAAAGCCCAGCCCTTGTCTACAATCAGCACTTTCTGCCCTGGGGCAATGGTGATGCCCTTGTCAGGAGTCTGTGTGGTTCCCTCCAATGGAGGGGCACTGTGAGTGTTCACCCGCCACTCCAAATCTGGCTTCCAATCAGAACACGGCACGTCTGTAGTGCTGTGAAAATGTCTTCATTCTCGCACATTGGCCAAAAGAGCCCCGAGCAATCAGCACAGCTGGGAAAACCCAGGAGCTTCATCTCAACTGTTTACTCATCCTTACAATCCCAGCCCAGGGTTTACTCCTCGGTGGGGGCTGCATTTGCATGCCAGAAGAAGAGAGTGTATAGCACTAGCAATTAATCAACCGTATTTCCACCTTTCGCTGTGACCTGACCTGCTCTTCACCCAAATGGCATCCAGCCAGAAGGAAAAGCCTTACTCCACCCAGTGATTGGGCAAGACATGCACATATCCCCACTGTGGCTCCCTGAATACATGCCCACACCACTCGTTTCAAGGATCCTGGCTTCTGTGACACATTCCCAGCCCTCCGAATGGAGTTACCCATTCCCCCTTGTGTTCCCACTCCAAATTCTCGCTGTGGATGCATCCG